GGGGGGGTTCTAACTGGGAAAATTTACCAGACCTTAGACGGTAAATCCTACCCTGGGTCACAACCGTGAATCTGTTGCAATTTTCTAATCTCATGAACCGTTAAGCTAATGTATTCTTTCTCCCTCTGTCGATTACCGTGGTTGGGCCGAAGTAATAGATTGTTGCTTCTTCGGTTCGTTACTTTTTTTTATCTACTAAAGTCTTCTTATTCCTTTATCTTGGTATTCCACACTGAGGCATTTCGCTAAAGTACAGTTTTCTCAGAACTAAGAAATTCCTACCGTCGCTGGCATCGCTTCTCGGTCCCACACTCCACCACAGAACTGTACCAAATAACGGAAAGGCACATGTAACCCGAAGAGAAAAAGACAATCAAGATGTTGATATTCCACATTACTTCAAACAAAAGGTTAAAAAGAAAAGCCCCAATACTGGAAAGAGCAATAAAGGTAGTCTCAAGAAATCTAATTTTCTGTTTTAATAGAAAGGCTTTTATAAATTCGAAACTGACTGATTGATAGAATGAATACCGAATGTTTCCATATAAGGAAACACCTAATATTACCATCTACTTCCGGCACAGCACAAAGATTCGGTCGGAAGAAATTCAAATGAGAGCGCAGTGAAAATTCAGTGACATTTCACAATCGGTATCGCTATAATTTTCAAGCAGTTCTTCATTAAAATCCCAGTAGTTCAATTTTTCCCCCAGAAACCCAATGACAAAGGTTTTGAATGCATTCCATACTTTTCTTTTTTTTTCTGCCTTTTGTTATTTTCGTTTCCAGAGTTTCAGATGCAAGCATTTGCTTCATTTATGGTTCAATAGAATCACCAACAGCAGTTTTCTCGTTTGGAAACTTCAGAAACATTGCTTGTATTCCTGTATAAGCTTCCTGTTTTGCGATCCCTTGCGGTGACGAATTATTTTATCAGGCCTAGTTTAATATTTAATGCAATATAGCCAAGGGAAACAAGTGTGATACTGTCATCGAGTTACACACAAAATAAATCGATTCTTGATAATACTGATATCATATTAATGTTATATAATAAGACTACAATTGTTTTCGGTGTGCCAGAAATACTCAAGAAACCTGAAAAAGAGTCAAGTGAAACAATTTTGTTACATAGCGTTAGTTACTAAGCTAACTTAGTCACAAGGAGGGGAACAAAAACAGAAGGTACGTATTTTAGTTCTTAGTTGAGCTTTTATATAACATGTCCTTTCAGTGCGATAATGACTCCCCACAACTTCCTATCTTTAGGTTTTTTTTTTTTATTCTAAACCATTAATCTTTGCCTCTGTTCTGCTATCTATTGACATACTCGTGACTTGCTCACTATTTACATTATTCGGACAATTGTCCTCATTTTTGTCGCCATATTTCTTACGTTTCGGCCGTTGTACGCTCCGGCCTTCTTAAGGTGGTTGGAATGTCGAACTGAACCCTTTATTTCGCTCACTGGAGTAGACAGTTCTAGTTCCACGTGTCATGTTTAATGGATGTCAGTTACCAGTTATCTCCTGTTAATTCCCCTCTCCAAGTTCTCCAATGCCTTAACCGGGTATTGAACTCAAGTGTGTGCGTCCAGTCACTGGATCTAACTAACGCCTTTACCCACTGTACCATGTGTCCTTGAGGACATCTGTGTATGAAGGCAATAGTCCGAATAATGTAAATAGTGGACATAATACCTCATCTCAGAAATATAGACAGATACTGAAGGGCCGAAACGTTGTAAAAAATATACGGAGACAAATATACGGAGACAAATATACGGAGACAAATATACGGAGACAAATATACGGAGACAAATATACGGAGACAAATATACGGAGACAAATATACGGAGACAAATATACGGAGACAAATATACGGAGACAAATATACGGAGACACTGAAAAACGGAGACAATATACGGAGACAAATATCTGGAGACAAATATACGGGAGACAAATATACGGAGACAAATATACGGAGACAAATATACGGAGACAAATATACGGAACAAATATACGGAGACAAATATACGGAGACAAATATACGGAGACAAATATACGGAGAAATATACGGAGACAAATATACGGAGACAAATATACGGGAGACAAATATACGGAGACAAATATACGGAGACAAATATACGGAGACAAATATACGGAGACAAATATACGGAGACAAATATACGGAGACAAATATACGGAGACAAATATACGGAGACAAATATACGGAGACAAATATACGGAGACAAATATACGGAGACAAATATACGGAGACAAATATACGGAGACAAATATACGGAGACAAATATACGGAGACAAAATACGGAGTTTAAAATATACGGAGACAAATATACGGAGACAAATATACGGAGACAAAATACGGAGACAAATATACGGAGACAAATATACGGAGACAAATATACGGAGACAAATATACGGAGACAATATACGGAGACAAATATACGGAGACAAATATACGGAGACAAATATACGGAGACAAATATACGGAGACAAATATACGGAGACAAATATACGGAGACAAATATACGGAGACAAATATACGGAGACAAATATACGGAGACAAATAGTCCGAATAATTTAAATAGTGTACATAATACCTCATCTCAGAAATATAAACAGATGTTTGGAAAATGTTTTAACAGGATGAAAAATGCAACACCAAAATCCGAATGCTTATTGGATTATTGAAAATTGTTTTTCAGAAGCTAAGCAAAGTATCAGGTTGGAACAAGTTCTTTTTTTCTCTTTTATTGTGCATATACAAATGAAAATACTAATAACCATCAATATAACCGCCATTGTTTCCTATAACCTCATTCCGTTTCTCAACAAGTTTACAGTTGCCATGAATTGTAAAATAATTCTTCAGGTTTTGATGCAAAATACGGAACCAACTCGTGTCTACACTCTTGTTCTGGTGCCAAACCTAGGCCATCCAAATGATTCTGCAAAAGGTCGGGAGAATAGGTAGGATATAAAGCAATTATTTCCAAAATTAATCGTGCAGTGTGAAGACTGGAATTATCGTGATGGAGGATTGCTCCGTTTCTGTTTTTTGTCCAAAACTGCTTCCAAACGACGAAGTTGTTGACAGTAGAGATCAGCTTTTGGTTATTATCTAACAATCCATAATGAATGATTCTATGAATATCCCTATCCCACCATGCCCTCAACAGGATCTTCTTTAAAAGTACTCCTGAGTTGCTGAGCAGGTCTTTTCCTCGACTGATCCACTGATGACAGCGCTTGATACAGGGTGACCACTGAAAGGCTGAATGATATAAAACAAAACTTTCACAAACACATGAGTATCTTGGCGTAGTAAAGCTTGGACCATTTGAATCTTGTATGGAAACGTTTTTAAATCCAGTTTCCGAATCTTCTGAAACGATGTTATGGCGATGCCTAGTTGTGCAGAGCGACGGCAGGTAGATGCCGATGGATCTCCAAGGACACTATGCCGTACACCTTCAACCACGTCAGTGTGCACAGTGCTCTTAGGACCTCTTCCCGGAAGATCGCCAACTGATCCCTTTCTTTCAAACCGGGTTCAGAATCATGTTTTCGCTAGGAGATACTCTGACATTAAAATCAGTTTGAATCATTGATCTTTCATTGGGATAGAAAAACTCGATGAGTTTTACTCGTTGCTGGATATCATACGTAGCCATTTTAATCTCTAATGAATGATCTATAAACTGCATCATACGTAGCCATTTTAATCTAATGAATGATCTATAAGCTGCCAAAAAATGAAATAAAAAAAATGAAAAACAAAAGTTATGACTTTTTCAAACTCTTCTTACGAATGGAATACGGGGGGGGGATAAGGATGATTCATCTTCCTGTACGTGGCATGGTAGATCTTAGCTTTAAATCTCAAGTTTTTGTTTTTTTATTTGTTGGACCATTTGAATCTTGTATGGAAACATTTTTAAATCCAGTTTCAGAATCTTCAGAAGAAATGTTCAAGCGATGCCTAGTTGAGCAGAGCGATCATGGGTAGAAGCTGATGGATCCTCAAGGACACTCTGCTGTATAACTTCCAAATCGCCTCTCCACTGCCTTAACCAGGTATTGAACTCGCATGGCACAGTGGATAAAAGCGTTGGTTAGATCAAGTGACAGGGAGTTCAATAGTCTGAATAATGTAAATAGCGTACATAATACCGCATCTCAGAAATATAGACATATACTGAAGGGCCGAAACGTAATAAATATGGCGACAAAGATGAGGACAATAGTCCGAATAATGTTAATAGTGTACATAATACCTCATCTCAGAAATATAGACAGATACTGAAAGGCCGAAACGTTGTAATAAATATGGCGACAAAGATGAGGACAATAGTCCGAATAATGTTAATAGTGTACATAATGCCTCATCTCAGGAATATAGACAGATACTGAAGGGCAGAAATGTTGTAATAAATATGGTGACAGATTAGGACAATAGTCTGAATATAAATAGTGTACATAATACCTCATCTCAGAAATATAGACAGATACCAAAATGGCAGACGTTACTAAAAGCTGCAAGGGACAAGAATCTATTGAGAGCTATTATCGCCTGCTGATTGTGGATAAACGGCGCAGAGAACTAGTAGCTTAGAAACGAAAGAAACTATAAAATAAAGAAGTTGTAGAAGAATTTATCAAAGAAAAAGTTCAATATAAGAAAGTATTTCGTAAAAATAGAGTATAAGAATTAAGTCCGATTAGAAAAAGAAATTGGAAAATACATAAAGTGATTTGGAAATAAACTGAAGTTAGGAAGATTTAAGATCGAAAGAAAGTTCTAAGGAAATGTAAAAAAAATAAATAAAAAAAGATTTAAAAACAGAAAGAACTCAGTAAAAGGATTAGACAACCAATACCAAATGAATACCACTCGGTAAATTAAACTGTCAAACCAGCAACAGAAGAATGGCGTTTATAGAGCATCCATTGATTACAACGCCTGTGCTACCTCTCTTAGTGTGACAAGGGTCGTCCCCAATTGTTAAAAAGGTGACCGAGAGGATATAGAGGGGTGGCACTGACAGGAAGGAGGAAGAGAAGATGATACGCCTGCCTCTCTGCTCGCAACGGAGGTAAAAACGGATAGGCGGTTGCGAGAGAATGACAATGGCTGTCAATGGGGGTTGGTCGGCTCTTACCGGACTCAGACCTAGAAGCATTAATGCAATGAAAATACAGAAAAAGAAAGCCATAACCTTTGTCTTCGCTCTCGTTCTCGTTGCCCCAAGATACTGTCGTAAAATTGCAATTCTAGATGAATAAAGAGCAGTTATTTAGGGATAACTGATGGGTTTTTAATGTTGATTTGTTTGCCCTTTCTCGCCTCCGCGTGTTTATTTACTCTATCTTGAGTGGCTCTTGAGTCTTATTGGCTGAACTATATTAAAAAAAACTAAAAGAAATAATAGTTCAGAAATGTTAATGGCTTACAATCTCATTTGTTTATATATTATATTTTATTTGCGCTATCAGAATTTTTTTTAAATAATTAAAGAAGGTAGTTGCAGTTTGATTATGGACGCAAATCAACCAGGCTTTCTAAATTAAACACTTAAGGGAATGCTTGATAAAGAGGAATTTTATTTGCCTTCTCTACTTTCCAAGTACCATAATAGACATTAGTAACCATTTTTCAGTGCCACAAAAACCAAACTAATTACATTCTATCACCGATCGGACTCTAACTTTTCACCTATGAACGGTGGCTCCCTCAGGGATGTCCCGTGCCTTGAGCGCCTGTTGAGCCTCAAACTCAAACCAGACTTCACGTGGAACTCGTACACACAATCCAACGGTAAAGATGCTGGGAAAAAATAGTCTGTTCGCTGTACCGCTCCAGTAGGTAGCTGATTCCTCCTGCTATCTTCTACCTTGACAAGAACCAGATCAGGCTGAAAATGAATTACTGCTGCCATATCTGGACAAGAGCTGCCCAGACATAACTTTTCAATCTCGATATGCCAAAAGCGTCTTTACGTCCCTTAGACTAAACGTCACAAGCCTCTCGCTGTTCTATCGCAATTTTCGTGGAAAGTTTTCTGAAGAATTATATTCCTTAGTTCCACCAGTTCTAACCTTTACGACTAAAACCTGCCATGCCACCCACATTGTAGCAAACCACCCTCATTCGCTTAATATTCCATTCTAACAGCTTCTTCCCACGAACCACGCTGCTTTGTGGAACCGACTCCCAAGAGGATGCTTCCCCGATTACTACAATCTTAAACTGTTCAAGTCTAGGGTTAACTGTTATCTTCTCTACATATCCCCATAAACTTCGCCTCTTTGTAACTCTCTACCTCGAGTGGCTATTGGGCCTTGTACATGGTGAACATCACCGTAAAAATTGTGCTGCATTTGAAAATCCAATGTTACGAAAATCCAATGTAACTAAACTTTCATTTGACTTCTAATTAGGACGTCAGGTAAGCTCAGCTTAATTTAAATTTAATGGTAATATTATTAGTTGTTTACTTATAAGGAAACATTTGATATTCATTGACCAAAGAGCCAGTGCTACTCGTTAGGCTTTTCTTCACTCTCTGGCCATGGGGATGAGATCAAAATGTTATCTGTTCTCATCTCTAATGGTATTATTAGGCGTTTCCTTATAAGGAAACATTCGGCATTCATTGACCAAAGAGCTAATGCTACTCGTTACGCTTTTCTTCACTCTCTGGCCATGGAGATGGGATCGAAGTGTTATATCTGTTTTCTTCATCTCTAATGATATTTGCCTTTTCCTTATATTGGAACATTCAGTATTCATTGACCGAGCAGCCGGCGCTACTATCGGTTGGAGTTTATAAAGTCATTGTATTAACCCTTAGGAGACGACAGGGCCGATATATGACCCGAAAAATCGAATGACGAAGAAGACAACTGGCCTATCCGTCAGCCCGATAATACAAGCCTCGTGATTAGCTGGCTGATCTTCATACCAGCCAATCACATTGCTTGTCGTATTTCTTGTGCATCTGGGCCTTTCAGTATTGGTTTATGTGATAATTTGCTGTGATTTTACATTGATTTTTTGTGTTCCAAGTGAGGGCATGAAAATTCTCCTTAAAAATTCTTTGGGGCTCCGTTCATTCCTAGTATCCTTCTGTAGGATCACATCTGTTGCCTCGAGCCCCAGCTGAACTGAAATTCACTGCTATGTAAGATGATATAGCAGTTCAGTAGTCTTTGTTTCTAATGAAATTTAATATTTTGCTTAGCTTTTGGAAGGCATCTTTCGCTTTTCCAATGCTCTTTCCAATTTCTGTATCGCACTAAAACACTTGCTTCGTTCTTTATTTCGACGTCTCCAATTTGTAGCCCGCATCTTGGGCTGTTGCTGATGACCGTAGGTTATAAATTTTTTTTCCGCATTGCTCTTACACCATTTTACCATGCAGGGTTATGCTGCGAGTCAGCTACTTCTTTGAGCAATATCGTCTTCTCCGTAACCGTCGTTATCACAATCTCCATCGAATCTCTAAAGTTTGCTGTAAAAAGGTGCGTGACAAAATTGAAACGCTCTCTCTGTCTCTTTTTCAGTTCATGACGTGTCCGTTGTGGAAAGTGATGGATGAGAACGGAAGACCTTATTCAGTTTCAGCCATGAAAGGGTTAATGCTCCAGATTCGAATGTTCGAATGAAAAGTTTGCTGAAAAACGACAGAAGGAAAAAGAAAATGCGTGAAAAATTGAAAGGGAAAGAGGGGATTGAGAAAATATAAGAAGGAATGAAGAATTAGAAAAAAGAGAATTTTTTCAGTTCGAAAAGAAAAAATAGAATGAAACGTAAAAAAGAATCCGTTGGGAAATGGGAAAGTGATGGATGAGAAAGGAAGACCTTTTTATTCAGAAAGAAAAAGGGAAAAAATGAAATTTGCGAAATTAGGAAAAAAGGAATGAAGAGGCAGTAAATAAAAGAGACATGTTAGCGAATGAAGAAAGACGAGGTTGGGAAACGGCGAAGAAAAACGACAGAAGGAAATAACTGAAAATAGAAAGAAAGAAAGAAAAAAGGTAAAATGGAGGAGAAAGAAAGAAAGAAAGAAAGGGGGAAGAAACGAAAAGAAAGGGAGGGTAAAATGGAGGAGAAAGAAAGAAAGAAAAGAGTGGGTAAAATGGAAGGAAATGAAGAAGGTAAATGGAGGAGAAAGAAAGAAAAGTGGAGTAAAATAAAAGAAAATTTGGGAAAAGAAGGTAAAATGAAAAAGCAGGGGTAAAATGGAAAAGAAAGAAAAAAGAAAGGGTAAAATGGAGGAAAAGAAAAAAAAAGAAGGGGTAAAATGAAAAAAATGGAAGAAAAAAGAAATGGTAAAATGGGAGGGAAAAAAGAAAGAAAGAAAGAGTGGGTAAAATGGAGGAGAAAGAAAGAAAGAAAGAAAGAGTGGGTAAAATGGAGGAGAAAGAAAGAAAGAAAGAAAGAGTGGGTAAAATGGAGGAGAAAGAAAGAAAGAAAGAAAGAGTGGGTAAAATGGAGGAGAAAGAAAGAAAGAAAGGAATGAAAAGGGAGAAAAAAAAAGAACGACGGTAAAAAAAAAGAAAGAAAAGAAAGAAAATTGGGAAAAAGGAGAAAAAGAAAAAGAATGGAGAAAGGGAGGAAAAAAAGGGTAAAATGGAGGAGAAAGAAAGAAAGAAAGAAAAGGGTAAAAAAGAAAGAAAGAAGAGGGTAAAATGGAGGGAGGAAAAGAAAGAAGGGTAAATGGGTAAAATGGAGGAGAAAGAAAGAAAGGGGAAAATGGAGGGAAAAGTGGGGAAAAGGAAGAAGAAGAAAGAAAGAAAGAGTGGGGAAAATGGAGAAGAGTTACTTAGCAGTTACATCACAGAAAATGGAATCTGTGAACCGAGTTCAAACTCCAGCCGAGACATAAAATTTTCACTTCGCACAAATCACCCCCCTCCATCCTAACTTTCACCTACATGTTAAATAACAAGGCCAAGGAGATTCTATAGACTTGATTGATAACTAGTCTGGAAGAATGACAATTTTGAATTCGGTCCCGTAAAGAAGACAAGAGGAAATCGTTCAAGAACAACCAGGACAATGCAGAGTTGACAGATATTAAAGAAAACAGGCGTGAGCTACGATCGCTTAAGGCATGAAAGAACATGACACTTGAAGAGATAAGAGAAAAACAAAGAATCAAGAAAGGTGTGGGTAATGAAAAGAAAGTGTTAGTAAGGATATAAAGAGAGAAGAAAATAAAACGTATAAAAGGAAGGAAGGAAAGGACGAACGAAATTTACAATAAAAAAAAAAAATATGAAAACAGGAAGTGACAGAAATGAAAAGGAAGTAAGGCGCAAACATAAAAACAAATAAGTATAATGTACCGAGAATTAGAAAACTAACAATGGCGGATGGTAAAAGTAAATTAAAAGAAAAAAAACAATTTTTGCAGCTTCGTTCTTTTATAAGGTAACTGACTTACACCGGGATAAAGTTCACATTTCCAATTATATAAAATTGAAATTCTATTAAAAAGTAAAAAAAAAAAAAAATATTTTCGCAGAAAAACATTTTCTATATTCGACAGACACTGCATGAAGAAATACATTTTCTCCTTGAAAATATAAGTTTAGAAGTATCGTAGTACTTTCTTTGCAGTTCGGTTTTATCTCTCTCATATATATATATATATATATATATATAACTTTCAGCAACTTCTATATGGCCAACCTAGAAATTAATATATTTAGCTCCACCAAGAAACCCTCCCTCTACCTAAGATATGTAGATATTTTAGTTAAAAACAATTTCATTTCTTCATTTCCGTCTAAAAAAAAAAAAAACTTTAAAATTTTTGAAAAGTTCAAATTTAAAGATAATGAAATCCCTTTACTTGACATTTTAATAAACACAAATAACACATTTACTACCTCTCTGTATAAAAAAAACAACCAGCAAAAACTATTGCACTGTAAACTATAAAAGTGAATGTCTAGATAACTACAAAATAGCACTTCTACAGAATTTAATTAACCGAGCACAAATAATTTCCTCTCCATAAGGTAGGCAGACTGAAGCTGTTTTCTGAGTGTATTTATCTTATTGTAGCCTTCTATCCCTTTTTGTCGGGGCTGCTCTCATGTACCCAGAGTTTTTACGGTTTTATAGGGTACAGCTTATAGTGACCATTTTTGTTCATATGTTTAAAATATTTACGACTTTTGCTCGATGTTTAAAGCATGATCTTTTCTTTACACTGTATTTTGGTAGTTGAAGTTGAGTTATTGTCCAGTGAATGTTGGCTTGTGATATACAGATGTCTTAAACCGTTGCTCTTTTCGAGATGTTAGTACATGCAGGAATGCGAGTTTGTTGTCGTTTTCTCTCTCCATTGTGAACTCTATCGATGATCTTTGAGTTCACATGGTCCACTAGTACCTGGACCTCTTCCTGGTGTGGTCAGAGTATAATAGTGTCATCTACGTATTTCGGGCATAGCCTTTAGATGTGGATTCTAATGCCATTTCTTCGAAGTATTCCATGTAAAATATTGACATTGCTGGTGATAATGGCAGCCTATTGGTAAGTCTTCATTCTGTCGATATATCTGATCACATTCCGAATTGTGTTGTTTGCATACAGAAAGTCAGCATCTGCATCAGGTTATCTATTGGTATACTGGTTCATTCTCCTAGGGATGAACCCGAAACCAGTCTGTCCTTGACTACCGAGAGTGACTCCTCCGTAGGTACCTTGGTGTGACGTCGTCCCCCGGTCGTAGCGCCAACTGTGACGTTCTATCCTGATCTACCACGGCGCCAGTTGTGACGTCCCCAAAGAGCATCAATTGGGACGTCCTCGCCGAGGCGCCAGCCGTTCGCTCTTCGCTGCTCCGTCCGGGTGTCGCTGCTCCAAACGTGACGTCCGCCTGTCGCGTCAGTCGTGTTGTCTCGTCCTGTGACACGTCGTTTCCGCTAGGCAAGTTTTAACACTTCAAGTTGTTTGCTCTCTAAGAAATTGGTGTTTCGGTGTGTCTTTGGACGAAAGTCGAAAAACTTATTTCGGTGGTCTGGTTCTAAGTCGCTCTTCAAAATAATTGTTCTTGGGTTGAAGAGGAGTCCGGAATTTGCGTGAATCTTGGTCAGCTATCTCGAGGCGATTTCAACTGGAGACTGACTCTGGGAACTCTGTAAACTCGAGCCCGAACTGATTTCTGCCTGTTGGGGCCTTTTTTTATTGGACGCCGACCAAAACCGGGTTGGGTCTGTTGGCGTCGGGGGGTTCCTCGATAATTCTAAATACATATCCACCTTTTTATTTCTGGTTGGGGATTTTCCACTCTTTTCCATTTTGGGAACTTTTTTCCTCACTCCCATTTTCTCACCATACCTCTGAGGGGCGTGAACTGCCCTCCCCACTTCTTCGTAGCAGCTTCTCATACTTATACTCTGGATGGGGCGTCGACAGCCTTCTTCGTGCGTCACGTGATCACCTCTCGGCCAATGAGGTCTTGGTCGGGTATCTTTCCTCCTCCTTCGTGCGTCACGTGATCACCACTTGACCAATGATGTCTTAGTCGGGCGTGAACAATCCGTGGTTTTGTTTCGGGGAAAAAAAATATCTTGCTTAACTAAAAAAATTATCTCTTCTCTTTTTGCTTAAATCGCTTTTATCATTTCTCTATCACAACGGACAATATGACAACTCTTGTTTTACACGTGGTGTTTGTCAGGTATTTTATCGCTAATTCATCAAGATGGGTGGTATTCTTAATATGGCTTCAAAAAGAAATATCCTCAAAGTTTTCAGTCAGTCTGTCGCCTCCAAGGAAGAAAGAAAAAAAAACTTCTGGTCCCCATTCATTTTCATAATATTTGATTATTTTATTATCGCCGGTCAAAAGTTGTTTCGTCGAAAAGAATTCGGTCAGCGCACTGCTTGTGTGGGATTTAATTTTTCATATCTGTCCAAAGTCTGTGTTTTTTAGTGGCCTGTTTCTCGTCACTTATCGAAATAGCATTTTCACTTTTGAATTTTTTTCCTGGCCAGTGGTCTAGATAACACAGCCGTTATCAAAACACATCTGGTTCCTTCTTTCTTTTCCTTTTCTTTTTACTCAGAAATTCCATTGTCATTGTAATGACACCCTTTTTCATTTGTTACTTATCAATATTTTCATTGTCTCTTAGCCGTGTGTGTGTATCTGCTTATCACCTATGATTCGTCTCGCATTTCTTTCTGCTTTCTTTTCTTTCTCTTCCTTTCTCTGCCTCGTAAATGGTGTCACATTGGTGATTAAAACTTTATTACGTCCAAGTATCATTATCTGGTTGGATTTAATGGGGCAAATTTTAATTATTTGATATAGATCTTTCATAACAACAATGTATCTTTGTTTTTAAACCGTGGAATAAAAAATTTTCTGAACATGCAAGTATTTGTCATGTATGTACATTTTTTAAAAATTCTTTTTTTTTTATATATATATATATATATATATATATAAAATATGGAGAGAGAGAGCTGGCTTTACCTTAACTGGATTGCAGATTTTCAATTAAAATCCAAGTCAATGAATGATAATGTATTATTATATAGAGAAAATTTCAGCTATTTGCATACATTTTTTTAGACAGTGTTTACACACAATTGTGTCCAGAAAATTTTACTTGTAAGATTTGATTTAAAAAATATATTAAAATTCAATAAAAAAATTAACTGTGTTATTTTTCTTGTCAATCGTTTCAACGAAACTGTGAAATAGTAAGTGAGAAAATTATATATATATATATATATGATAACATAAATTTTACAAAAAAACATGATTCCATCGCTATAAAAAAATTTTTCATCGATTATGTTTCAAAAATTTAGACTATTCAAATTATATAATTAAAAGCCCGAGTTTTGTTTCATTTTTATAATCTGTAAATTTGTCATTGATTTATATTTTATAAAAATATTAAGAACACCAATAATTATATAATATTGTTTTTATTTTATTATATATATTATATATATATATATATATATATATATATATAGATATATGACGACTTAAGATTATCCATCATTTTTTCGTAAAAATATTTTTTGGTTGGTTTGAATTTATTTGAAAGGCTGATTTCTTTTCAAAAAAAATTCATGGAATTGTGCTAAATATTTATTTTTATAAATTTTTTATTTTTATTTTTTTTTTTTTTTAGAAATTTCCCTTGTCCGTAAACCCATTTCAAGAAAGTTAGGGGTCTTTTAATAACAGTTCGAACAAAAAATTAATGTTGTTTACCTAAGACGATAATTACGTGCAATGTTGGTGTATGATGGTATTATACTTAATGTTGATTTGTATGTCCATATTCAAACCTATCTATGCCTATCGTGCAATCTCCGCTCAAAACAAATATAAATGTGTCCCATTAATTTAATCATCTATATAATATGTTTATTGAACACAAATTTTAATTCCTTTTATATGTCAATTATTCTTGTTAATTCAAATAGTTTTTGCTTTTTAAATCGTATAAACAGTGGAGAATTTGGAAAAAGATTTAAGGCGAATAAAAAAAAAAAAGAAACACGAATGAAAAATCGGGCATCAGGGCTTTTAAAAATGGAATGTTTTAAAATAAGAAATAAATAAAATTGTTTTGTCATCGTTTCATTCCTGAATAATTAAATAGTAAAAAAAATAGCTAAAACATTTCTAATCAATGGGTCAAAATATTTTTGTGTGTGTTTCACGACATCATTATTGCATGAGCAAATTTATATATTGAAATTTTATTTTAATGCCATTGAAAAACCCGAATAAAAAAACTTTTCTCTCCGTAATATTTTCAGTTAGGACAAAACAGAATCCTGCAATGTACAAAAATCAGGATTTTGTTCTTGTCTCCCAAGATTATTTAAAAAAATAATAAACAAAACTTTTTGCCAGTAAAATATAAATTGAAAAATATCAATCGTAGGAAGATATTTATTCATCTATTAACAATAACACCATGAATTCCGAATGATCATTGTGATCGATTGATTGTTTTGTTTTATGGCATATCAAAATGTCAGTTCTTATATATAAAATAAAAACAAAATTTTGAAATGAATTTAAATAGTTTATGTTTAAAAAAAATTTTAAATATGTATACATATATTTAATATTGTGGCACCATGCATACCTGACGAGCTGAGAGAAATATTCATAGATATATGATTTGTTTTTTACGGTTTATCAACCATTTAATAATTATTTAAGGCCAAAAAAAATATTTTGGGTTTTAAGAATAATTCTTTCTTTACATTCAAGCGATCTGGGAGAAAGAAAAGAGAAAACGAAGAAGAAAGAAAAAAAAAAATAATACGAAAACAGGTCATAGGCGAGCACACACACGCACGGCTGACAGATAACAGGTGTCGAAAAATATCCAGGTCAAGCATCTGACAGATTTCCGCGAAAATATCGAAAATGGAAGTTTGTTATCAATTGGTTGAAGAAACGAAGTTTAGGGACAAAAAAAAAATATTGATAAGTAACAAGTGGAAAGTGTGTCATTGGATGATAGTAAAGGTCTAAGTGGGTGGGGAAGTGTATCTAAGGATATGAAGACAAACCATTAATACGAAAAAACACAGACAGTTTTCAGAATGGAAAAAAAAGCCACACAAGATGATGTGACTGAAAATGTTTTTTTTGAGATAATAAAGATTTTTATTATCGGACCTTCGAGCGAAGGAAAATGAAATATTTTTATTTCGTTCAAAAACGCCAACAGGTCTGAGAAATTCCTTTCTTAGATCATATCCAATTAGCGATAAACTGCTTGACAAATACCACGTGTTAAAAAGCCGAAGGTGTCATCTCAGTCGCTCATGATAAGGGCGATTTAAATTAATATTTTTTTTTTTTAAGCAAGGTATTTCTTTCCCAAAACAAAGCCACGGATTGTCCACGCCCGACTAAAGACGTCATTGGCTAAATAAGATCACATGACACACGAAGGAGGAGGAAAGATACCCGACCAGGACCTCATTGGCCGAAGAGCGGTCACATGACGCACGAAGGAGAAAAATCGACGACCCTATCCTCATTGGTGTGAGAGCCGATACGAAGTGACGCACGGGGAACGGGTCACGCCCCTCAGAGGCACAGTAAGAGAGTGGGAGTGAGAGTGAGTTACCGAAAATGGAAAAGAATGAAAAATCCCTAACCAGAAATAAGAAGGGTGGATACGTATTTAGAATTATCGAAGAACCCCTGGCGCCGACAGACCCACCCCAGTTTTGACTGCGTCAATAAAAGCGAGACCCCAACCGACAGAAATGGAAGAGTTGGTTTGGAACCGCAACGGAATTTAGAAGTGGATCCAGTTCGTTTGGCCGGGTGAAGAAAGGGACCTGGTGTTCGTTTGAGAAGAAGTTCGGGTGAGCCGAAGTTTTGACGCACCGCGGAAGAGAAGAAGTGGACCCCAACCGACTCTGGAGAAGTGACCAGTAATTCAGACTCTGGAGAGAAGAAGTTTGAGTTTGAGCAGCAGACGGCGAAAGAGTTCAGCCGTGGACGACAAGCAGAGATGAGCGCCCAGTGTTGAAACCGCGTCAAGATAGCTGACCAAGATTCACGCACACTTCTAGACTCTTCTTCAACCAAGAACAAGTAGTTTGAAGAGCGACTTAGAATCAGACCACAGAAATAAGTTTTTTTTTTTTCGACTTTCGTCCAAAGACACACCGAAACACAAAATTCTTAGAGAGCAGACAAGTGGAAGCCTTAAAGTTGCCTAGTAAAAGCGTCGTGCCACAATCCACAGAACGGGTGGGGAAGTAGACATAGTCCTATGTACCGAGCAAATAGACATAAAAAGTTTGTTACCTTTTTCTTTGATACGTTGGACCTTGTGAGTTTTTATTTTTTTTTTTTTATACATAATTGTGTGTTATCACCCCCGTTAGACTCAACTTGCATTACGGCCCCAACCCTGTTTGATCTCGTCTGTCTAAGATCAATTCACAACGTGGGTAGGCAGACTGGAGATCAGTGCAGTTACCCTGGTAACCAGGCGTTGGAAGCGGGTTGGGAACGGCGAGGCTGGTATCAATCTAACCAAAGGGTTAGAACGTCACGTTTGGAGCAGCGAGGAGCGAACAGCTGACGCCGCGGCAAAGACGTCACAGTTGGTGCTGTCCGTGACCAGGATATCAGAGCCTGGGGAGCACGTGACGTCACAATTGGCGCCGCGACCGGGATCGAACGACACAGTCGACGCTGCGACCGGGGGACGACGTCACAATACAAATTTTATTTAAACATACTTTTCTCGACAATCATCGATCAAATGGTTTAGATGAACATTTTTTTATAAAAATCATAAATTTTAAGCAAATTAGAAAAACAGACATGTTTATATAAAAAGGTTTTTGATTATGGCGGATTATGTAAATTTTCCCAATTAAGACGGATAAAAGTCAGCAATAAATAGATTGTGTTATTATTGAAAATTTATTTTTTTCCATATTTGTGACATGTTATTTAATTTTTTGCTAATTAAGTATGAAAAATAATATCACCTAAATATCCACCAATATTTTTCACCTAATTATCCACCAATTTTTGAAAAAATTTAAAAAATCATTTAAACATTTAAACTCGAATAAAATTTTTTTGAACTTTTTCCGTTTAAAATAAAATCGTCATCAACATTTGTTAACAGTTTTTGACATTATCCTCTTCATTTAAAAGGTGAATAATCTTAACAAAAAATTCAAAATTTATGGAAAAACGGAAGAAAATCTTATAGTTTTTGTTATTTTTAAAAGAATTAGCATGAAAATTAAAATTCAGAGATGAATTTTTAGAATTATTTGAATTTTAATGTTTAACGTATATTAAAATCAGTTTTGCTTATCCATTCGAAAAATTTTATGTCCTGTCCTAAATTTTAATTTCTTCTAATGGACAAAAAAAAGATATTAAATTTAAGTAGAACATTTCCCAGTATTTCTAAAAATGGATTCCAATATAGACTAAAATTTATTAGTAAAAATTTAATTTATTCTTGAAGGGCTAAGAGCTTCTCCATCTATTCTCGGGATTAAAGGACCCTAAAAAAAAAAAATTTGTTTTACGAGATGTCCTTTGATAATGATGACATACAAAATGATATAGAAATGCAGCAGCAATCTCCTGGTTTGTAAAAAAAAGATCTCTTTTCTTTAATCTGAGGTTCAGGATCAGTAAATGAGTTTAAAGATACTTATATTCTCCATCTGTAAACACAAAGGTAATAAATTCAAAGGTGAGTCTTTTAGTTATATTCCCAGTAGGCAGACTGCTGATTCACCATTTGAAAAGATAATTAACTGGTCTGAAACTCTCCAACTTTCGGTCTGTAATTAGTAGAAATTATATCATATAAATGAAATCATCATAAAAAGGAAGCAAAAAACGGATTTGACATGGTATTTAAATAAATGTCTCAATAGTTTGACCTTTTAAACAATTTCAAGGATGATTTTGGAACTCGTTTTTAGGGAAGGCAGTCATTTTACATGATTTAAATTTTGAAGATGAATGTCAAGATGTTGTTTCTGTCTTTAGAAGTGGAGAGATGTTTAAAAAATATTTGTTTTTGTTTCATTTTTTTTGTTTTAACACCTTTCTCATTTGCTTTTTAAAAAAATTTGGAAAAAAAACAATGATTTTTAAAAATGCGAAAAGGACAAATGGTATGTTGTTCAACCAACAACGTTTCAAAGTAAGATCAAAGAAATTTATCCACTTCGTTTCGTGACTTTATTTGAGGACGAATGCGGGAAAAAAAAAAATGGATCGTTGAAAAGATTCCCTCATGCATCTAAAGATTAAATGAACAATTTAAAAAAATCAGAACTTGTTCATGACATTCTATCTCTAAACATTCTCATATAATTTCTGCCACTGTTTATTGAAGAGGAAATGATTGGGAACTGTCTTTCATCTATCTTGGTGCTATTATTTCCAGCGATGATAAAATAGAAAAAACGGAACTATTATTAGTGCAGGATGGAAACACATATAATTCTAGATTTCGGTAAAAATGAAACTAATGATTAACAAATGGATATTGAAATATTTTGATCCAATAAATAACAAACGGCTATTTTTGCTAAAAATTAAATGTATTTACACAAAATACAAAAGGTAATGCTGTTAGTAAAAGAAAAGGAAATGCAGTTAATCTAGCAAATACAGATAGATATATCACAGTTCGAAAGGATCTTTATGATATATCTATATGTTTGTAACTGGTTCTACACAGGTTACTTCACTTATCCGACACTCACAGACGAAATCTTTTACCACAACATGACCCTTGTTTTTTCAGAATGCCTGATCATGAATATTTTGAAGCAGGACGAGTCCATTATAGTCGAAAATGGTGGACCCCAAGAAACACCAAATGTAAACAGACAATATATGGACCGTTTGACCAGGTTTATCGCTGATGTGCTAACGACGATCACTGAATATTTATATTTTCAATATTCGATGCATATAGCTAATACATATATCGAAGGCTTTTGACAGGGTTTGGCAAGCTTTTTTTTACGTATGATCCAGGTCTACAGTATTACTGGATGATTGTTTAATTTAAAATCAATCCTTCCTATCAAATGACGGGACTTGCTTCCAGATCCTTTCAACGAAAACGGATGTCTTCAATGCTATATCCTGGGCCCTACGCTGAACAAAAAAAAAAAAATTGATGATTTTTTCTGAAAAAAATTGCCAAGTAGTCATTTATGGTGATGACACTAAATTTACTCTTGTCTCAAAATTCCAATTTGATGAAGACCGGAGCGTACAAGCGGACGAAACTTTGATGAATATGACAGAATATAGATTATTGTTAACTGGAACAGGAAAATGGTTAATTAAATTTAATGCCTAAAAATAATATGATATCTCAAAAAAAAATCATAGAGACTTTGAAACGTCATATATCAGCATAGAATCAATAGAATCATGTAAATAGGAATTTAATTCAAAGGTTACTGGTATAAAGTTTTTTTTTTATCTCGTTAGAGTCCATTTGGGGATCATATATATATCTACCATTCGTATGTGTATAGAACAGTTTTCAACGTCTGGAATTGTTTCCAATAACTCATTTTCATTATTTTGACAATACCTCAAAGAAGGATTGCATTATTCATCTATCCTGGCTTGGCATCTGATTTCAAATTTCACCGATTTGACGTAGATAAAAAATGTCTATTTTGAAAAATATTTTCAAAAAAAAAAAAATCAATATTTTTTTTTTATATATTATGATATATATTTATTGTTGATGATCTATAAAAACGTTTTTTTTTTTAATGTTAATTTTAAAACATAATAAATAACTGTAAATTTTTAAGACACGTATAGCCTGGGAGTTCGTTGAACATTAAAAAATTTGGCTGTTAACTAAAAAATCAATAAAAGTTGTTTGTAAGATTTACCAGAATTTTATCTTCCAGATCGAAAAATATATATATATCCAAATTTTATTAATGTTGATAAAACTGGATAGCGTTGTATTGACAATTATATTTAGCAAATTTTTTATGAATAAAATCAAAGACAGCCAAAAGGTCCGTTGCAAGATTGACCATGAATGAAGCAGAGTACAGGTTGATTATTTACAAAAAAAAATGAATTTTTGGGAATTTTACATGCCGTACATATGATTATATATGGAAATGCTTCATATATTTATTTATTCGTATACAATTCAAATGTTTAATAAGGTCTTATAAAATGTTCATTCGCCATGGAAGAACATTTGCGATGGTTTATTACACAAACAGCCGATCTGTTGTTCGGATCTTAAGTTTTTTTACGGATGTCTACATTTAGAAAAGATGGAATAACAAATTTGCGCAAATAACGTTTGCGGTTCATAAATCGGAAAAGGGATGAAACCAGCATTATATTTATACGATGTTATTTTTCTAAATTGGAGATGTAGAGTGATTGACTTTGTGCACATATTAAAAGACACTGTTCAAACCAGAATCATTAAATTTATTTATTTCAAACACACTTTCATTAAACTAGAGAATGTATCCCTGCTTTTTTTTTTAATGTGGTTTATAATGAAAGGTTCCGGCACATAAAGTCACACCGTTTCGTTTGCTGAAAGGAGATACCATTAAAGATGGAAATGTTGTTAATTTTTTTTTTTCGTTTTTCCACCTCAATATTTGAAGGCTTATCTATAAAAAAACCTAAAAAATGGTTTTTCAGCAGTCATTAATAATGCAGAGACGCTACATCAACGTATTATTGGAGGGGTTGCGAAAGAAGGCAACATAGCGTGTGAATTTATTTAAAATATAGTTTTGCAGCAGGCGGAGCAAATTTTAGAACATTTGTTACGACAGCTTTGTTGAGGTGCAACGATCGCTTTTGGGGCATATGTTTATATGGTGATTTTACCTTGTTTTATATGAAGGGAATATTACCCAAAACTTCATAAACGTATTTTTGGATAGCGCATTTAACGGCGTCGACGGAAAATTTAAAAATAATAAATCAAAAACGAAGAATTAATTGAACACAAGATTATATGAATTTTGTCCTTGTTTTTATAATGAGGAAACCAGATTTATATGTCAATATATATATATATATATATATATATATATATATATATATATATATATATATTTTTTTTCATTTAGACAAAAAAAAAATTGAAATATATATAAAAAATGATAATAAATAAAAATAATATATTCTTAAATAAAAATATATATTATGATATAACATATAATATATTATTTTATCTATATATATTTTATATAAATTTATAAATATATCCTGTTCTTTTATATTATAACAATATTATATATATACTGTATTTATATATATATATATAATTATATATTAATATATATTTGATATAAAATCATTTATATGTGAAAAATAATATACAATGGAAATTTGACTTTTATATTTTTTCCCAACAAATAAAAATATAGAAGGAATTTTATATATATTATATATATATATATATATATATATATATATATTATATATATATATATTAAAATATTTTATGAATTTATATTAAAATAATCTTATACTATCAAAAAAATGTTTTCTCCGGAAAAGCTTAGCCAATCCCTATTGCAGAAATCTTGCTCAAAACAATGTTTGTTCAACACCCACAGAGCCCACCTGTGGTTTATACTGCAACTATGCTGAGCAGACCTGAAGTTACAGTTTCTGGGAAAAAGCGTGTTATCTAGCTGATCAAAAATTTGAACAAAATGTTGCAGTGTTAAACCACTTGTGGGATG